CAGATGCTGCCAGACCTGCTGAGCTTTTCCAGCAACTTCGTATTTCTTTAGATTTTTTTTATTTACGGGAGATAAACAGGGATGATCCCTGGTCTTGGTTAAAATAATAGTAGAATTTTAATATCTAACTGAGTGGGCATATGGGACCTTAGGTTAACATCTCACCAGTGCAGCACACCCTTAGTACCTCAAACCTCTTGTGTGGCAAAATTAGTCATCTTTGATCATTGCAGTGGGACTTGAATCTCGAACCTGCTGAGTCGGACGCAAAAGTGCTATCAGCTAAGCTACAACTGATGCAGCATGAAATTGAGAGTAAATCCACTCTTTTCCAATAATGTACAACTTTCCTCTATTTCAAGTAGGATTAAAAGATCAGTGCCAAACCACAGACTGTGGATTGTGCAAGCATTCTTAATCACCATGACAGATTGTAATTTCTCCTCTGGATCTGGTTGTGCTGTACAAAATCTGGAAAAAATGAAATTGTGTTATTGATATAAGACCATCCTTCATCTTTTATCTGTATAGAAAAGCATTTGAAAATCTTTTAAAAGGTATAATAGCATTAATTTGTTTTTCTACTCGACAAATGTTAATAAGGAAGGACATTGTACTGAGGACTGGTGAAATTTTCATTTCCACTACCTGGGCTATGATCTGATAAAGTGACTTTCAATAAGATGAAAATCCTGTAGACTTTATAGGGGGAGGTGATATGATTCACCAGATTTGTGTCCAATCAGTGAAACTTAAAAATTAACCATGAAAATGTGAAATTAACATTTTCAGAAAGCACACCTATCTTCTAAAGTTAATTTGCTCACCATTGTGTTTAGCAGCAATAATGCCTCTTTTGCACTATAAAACTATAATACTGTCTGGTTGCTTGGGATACTGGCCTTGGGACCTTGCGTTACTATGCCAGCTGTTATTGCCCAAAGCAGCCTGTTTCTACAAGTATCAGTGCTGAAGTTTACACCATGTGTCAAACCCCCCACCCCCATTGCAATAAAGTCACCATCTGTATCACAAACCTGTGGGACATTGTTCTATTCTTTGACTATGTTGATCTATTTTACTCTGGGTTCACCAGCAAAATCAGACACTAACAGTTTCCGGCACCTGATGTGCCGTCTTGACCTGCTTTGTTATGTCAGTCACCACTGTCAGTATGCAGTGGTCTGAATGTTGTTGTATGTTGACCCTTGTTACAAGTGCCACAAAGATTGGGGTATTGCTTATGGTAGATATCTTGAAGTTTAGAACAACACTATTTATATTGCTTTATCTGTTCTATTATTTCTGTACGCCACTGGTAATAAGGGATGGTGTGGATTAAAGTCACTGATGTTTGATTAGCCATGATTGAATTGAATGCTGGTGGGGGGCACAGACTGAGGCAAGGGAATATGATTTGAGATGTATAAAATTGAGGGGCATGGACAGGAAGGAACTTTTCCCATTGGAAGGATCAATGACCGGGGGCAACATATTTTAAGGGGCAGGAGGTTTAGACAGGATGTGAGGAAACTGCCCCCACCTTCCCACTGAGGGTGATGGGAAACTTGAACTCACTCCTTGTAAGGTAGAGGCAGAAACCCTCAACATTTCAGAAGTATTGAGATGTACACTTGCTATGCCATGGCCTAAAAGGCTATAAGCCGAGTGCCAGAAAATGGGATCTGAATAGCTAGGTGCTTCTTTTTGACTGGCACAGACTCAATGGCAGAAATAGTCTTTTTTTCTCTCTCTGGTCTAGACCTCTGACTCTAAGGGGCTACTGCAGTTCCTATGACATTACAATTGTACGCTATATGTGCTTTGACGGAAATCTGGCCTTTTTATACTAGGCCACAACACATCCTATATGGCATGACATCATGTCATGTCATGTAAGTGTCTTCAAGGTATACTGCCAATCTGGTCTGAAATCTATGCAATAGTACAATAGCAGTTGTTCCTTGCCATCGATCCTCTATATTTCAGACAGTTTCGAAAAAATATCTTTTAAAATAAAGATGTATGTTACTAAGTAAGAATTATTCTCGCTAACCCAAGAGTGACAGCAACCTGAGCAGATGGTTTTTACAGCCATCTATTTCCTATCGAGACAACTAACTTGTTTTTATTGAGGAATGAGGTAAATAAATGTGATTAGCTTTGTTCGGATTGAGCTGAGTGTTGGTCTTGAGCTATGATTTGTGGGAAACAATTTAAGAAAGCCGAGCACTGAAATATTATAAAAATGGAAGTGTCAACATTTCCAATGTGATTGAATGAAATCAAAATTGAAAGTTTTACCATTGTGGATTCTGAAATATTATTGAATAATTAAGAACATCATAGTTCACAAGAGAATAAGGGTTACACAATTCAACTTCTTAGTATCCAGCACAAACTACCTCCCAGAAAGGTATCTGTCTAACATGTATCTTCTGGAGCTGACCAGAAGTCAGACAAGTTGTTCTTATTTTTTGGGGAGAGAGTTCATGTAGACACAGGGAGCACCCACTGGAATTATACAGATTTAAGATGCAATCAGTATGTATTGTTGACTGATGCCAGGCATGTCATTTTGCTGACAGTCATTCCAGTTAATGCCCTTTCCTTAACCTCGAAGTCAAATGTATGTCCAGCAGCAGGAATGTTCCCTTTGCTATTTCTATCAACACCATGTTCATGTTAGTTGCTGACTCATTTTTAATTTCTGCTGGCTGCTGCTCTGATCTTGGGAGTGTTGGGATTCCAGAGTTGGTTCAAGTTGAAGTTTACAACAAGTGGTGTGGCACATGGTGAAAGTTGTGGTGCTGACCGCACAGATTCTGGGCACAAACCACTTTGAGCAGTGAGTATCCCTTGCATGACAGGAAGAGGAAGCATGGAGCATTCGGGGAGTAATGCTCCTAGTACGTGGCACAGGATGTCTGAGCTAGATGGTACAGATCCCTCCGAGCTCTTTGCTGGTAATTGCAGACTTGTTGGCAAGTCAGGCAATCCATTATCTTAATTATCTTAATTTGAGCTCTCCTGTAGAATGACATCACCTTTTAGCAAACGGATATGAACTTTGACTCCACCCTTGTTGCAGGCTGCTAGTACACAGTGCCTCACCTTATCCAAACCCTTTCTCCACGTTACCACATACTTCAGCTGGTGGCTGCCAAGTGTGGGAATGAGTGGTATAATCTGGCTGTTTCACAACTACCTGACCAAAAGGACTTGCATGTCTGTAGTGACACTAGATGCCTCCAGTGTTTAATAGCCAGTTAACTACTTTTTGAAGTGTACATTATATTTAAGATAGGAAATCGGTTGACAAGTTGTGCAGAGCAAAGTTCTATAAAGAATGATGTTTTTATGATGCTGATTTGATCAAGTGGCAATTCTTTTGCACTTTTAAAAGAATGGAATGGGATCATATACTGTGGAGAGTAAGAGATGCATGCTTACGGAGTGGGCAACTTTAGAAGCCAAGAGATTTTGGGGTGAGGGAAAGCTAAGATACAGAACACAACGTTCATTTTTCAGTGTGATCGCTGGGGATGACCTCAACTGTGGTTGCTGCAATGATCTTCTCTTCCATGGGGTAATATAGCTGTACTCCTCTCCAACAGGCTGGGTGCTCTCTTCAGTCATATGCTGCCTTTCCCTGGAAAGAGGGAAAGGTATCACTTAGGGATGGTACAAATCTGGTTGTGCTTGGTTTATTGTTGAACAGCTGCAAATATGTACAGGCATGGGATGTGGTACTGAGTGTGAGGGAGAGGTAAAGTTTTGAATGTGAAGTGAGAGTCCTGATCAATAAAGACTGTTGATAGATAAGTGAGTTTGTGGTGTATTTGAATGGCACTTGAGGTTCATGTTGCAGTTAATAGGTTGTACCATTTGAAAATACCTTCACTAGCCTTGTCTACTCGAGTGAGATCACTGAACTTTCTACATTTAGGTCCACATATCAATACCCCTGATATTGATGCTGTGATCTTTGTAAAATTAATCTGTAGGATGTTCCAATTCCGAAGTAAAGTGGTCTCCTTTCCAGCTATTCACTTCCATAATTTAAGGTGCTGCTTGCCTTTAAGTCAAAATATCTAGCTTTTAGCTTATTGTAACTTCTCATGATTTTACAGCTCCTTCCTTGGCACTCCATATTATGTTCTGTGCTGGGTGTATGTAGCAATCTTTAACTTTAAGAGGCAGCACCAAATTTGTGTACCATCTGCATTAAGAACATTGGATAAGGGGCAATCTTGCATCACATGTTTCTCGATGCTGTGCAGTTTAATGGCTAAAGTGTTTTGTTTTGTCATTTTAATGGGAATGTTGTCACAGACAGTGGAGCATGTGAATTATCTTGAGCTTCTGATGAGTGGTGGCATCTGAACTAAAATTGCCTACAAGGCATTCGAAGGCTTGGAATGCATCAAGCGTGGCAAATTTATCATGATGTTTGACGGCAGTATCCCAGGCTGCTGAGTATCGTATTCAATTTTTATTTTTTCCAGAGAGAGTGTCTCGGGAACACCAAATGAACCATTTCAGTTGCTGCAAAATGTGAATGAGTTTGGAGCTGAGGGGAATGCGACGTTTATCACAGAAAGCATGAGTGTAACTACAGCCGACGAAGAGAAGTTGCTGCTGCTAAACAGGAACACCGAACTGAGACGCATGAACAAAGAGGTACTTGGTCCTCTCCCACTTCTTTTTTTCCCTATTTAAGCAACTTTTGAACATCAGAATTTACGTAAGCCTGTTAAGCAACGCCCTACTGGAGTTTCCCTTCTGCTGAAAGAAAAGCGCACATTTTTTTTTATAATTAGTACTTTCCTCTTGACAAAACAAGTCTGTCAAGCATGTAGTTATTGAAATATCCTGAGAATATTTGTATTTTGCCATGTGCGGTTGTAAATGTTGCCTCCAGGACATTGTTAGTGTATCAGCATCACAGCAAGGAAGCACATAATCAACTGTGAGCCATACTTATTACAAATGTCATTGTGGAAGAGATTGGCTTGATGAACAACAAAAGCAATTAGACTATTGTGTGGTTTCATTCCATTCCAATCTGTCATTTAAATGACATTCGGATCTATTTTCAGCATTTCTTTTTCAAGTTAATCCAAATGAACAAGTGTAAATGTTATGAAATGCTATTGTAGGCATAGGTGCTGAAAAACTGAAATGACTCATTTCAGGTAGTTGAGAAATAACTTGCATAGGTACACTATTCTAATTTACATTTCTATGTATAGCAACTTTCATGACTTTAAGGTGTTCCCAAGCCTGTAGCAGTCAATTAAGTACTTTGAAGTACAGTTTCAGTTGCTGTATAGAAACTACAAAAGTTTGCACGCCAAATCCCCCAAACCAACGATATAATAAAATTTATTAGATTGCTTAAATTGTTTGAGGCCAGGAAAGTGAGACAACCCCACTGCTTTTAATATTTCAAATTTGACAAAAGTTGACAATTTGGAATTCTGACTCTTCACCTGCAGGTACAAAGGAGTCATAAATACCCAAACATTATTTTAACTTTTCGGCTTGGCTCAATGAGTAAGAAAAAAGTAAGTTATGTTTAAAAGCTGTCAATATAAGTCAAAGTAGTACTCTCAAAGGTTGTAAACCACTGCAGAAGCTTGTTGACAAAGGAACTTAAGTCACTACGTGTTGTTTTTTTCCCCTCCTATAGAGACATTGACCACATATTACCAGAAGAAGAATAGAAAACAGAAGAGTTACAATGCAGTGAGTGCACTGCTGCCCAATAATGACTAGGATAATATAGCAGAAAGGAGCAATTTTGTAGTTGGGCCACAATGAGTGCCATGCCAAGATATTCTTATATGGGGACAGCAAAAAGCACTGTTTAATACACAGGTGTTAGTTTGACAGTGGATATTTGTACATATGTGGTTCATGGTGAAGTCCAAGTTTTTTCATTGCATGTTTTATCCTTGGACTAAAAATCAATTTCTGAAGGTCGACTGTGTAAACAGAAAAAGGCTGAGATTTGTCTATTAAGAAAGATACGGGTGATACTCAACATACAAATGGCAATGACATATTTCTTAAATTAGTACTTTATATTCTTAGTGGGGAGGTGATGACCTAGTGATATTATCGCTGGACTGTTAATCCAGAGACCCAGATAACGTTCTGGGGACCCGGGTTCGAATCCTGCCACGGCAGACGGTGGAATTTGAAGTCAATAAAATATCTGGAATTAAGAATCTAATGATGACCATGAATCCATTGTTGATTGTCAGAAAAACCCGTCTGGTTCACTAATGCCCTTTAGGGAAGGAAATCTGCCATCTATACCCGGTCTGGCCTACACGTGACTCCAGACCCACAGCAATGTGGTTGACTCTTAACTGCCCTATGGGCAATAAATGCTGCCTAGCCAGCGATGCCCTCATCCCCTCAATGAATAAAGAAAACAAAATTCTTTTCACTCTTAAAAGATAACATGCTCATTAACAAGGGGAAATTTTAAGGGGATGAACTTATCAGATTCAATGCAAGTAGCAAAATAGTGATGGAGAAAGTAGACATTTAAAATTTCAGAGGCTAGGAATTCTTGGAGTAACTCACCATCTGACACCTTCATCTATAAGTCTGGTGTGTGATAGAATACATTCCAGTTGCCTGGATGAGTGCAGATTCAATGTTGATGATCAAGAGGTTTGACATCATCCAGTGTAAAAGCAACCTGGTTAATTGATGGCTCGCACCACTGTCTCAAGGCTATTAGGGAAAGGACAGTTGTTATAACCGGTCCCCAGGAGAGGAGGGTTCAACTGGCTATCCCTTCTTTACTCATTCTTGCCCCCCACCCCCAACCCCTGCCAATCAAACATGGCCCTCGGTTTCTTACAACAAGGCTAACTTTGAAAGGATCCCTTCTCTTTTGGGAGAAAAGGTCAGCCACAGCAAATGAATTCATTTTGAGAGAAGTCAATTTAGCCAGATATTCTTGTGTTCACAAGAGTTTATTTCTTCTAGTGCTTAGGAATTAACAATGCCCTATCAATTAGGACAAGATGTAGGTCCAAAATGAATTTAAAATGCTTTAAGTTTTTCATGAGAACTAAATAGTAGAATTGTGGCTATTATTGGATAGTAGCAGTTGCATTGACATGGGTGGTTCTTGCCTTTTAGTATGTTGATTTTAAAATTCTTTTGTCTTGGTTCCTCTTGGTAGTGGCTGGCTCACAACACTGAGTAGGCATTTTGTCTCTTTTCACCTGCAGAACAAGGGTGTTTAATGGTTGTTTTCAAGCTGTGACCTTTACAGAACACTAGTCCACACAATGGTACATCACAACAGTCAGAATTAGTTTTTAACTTTTTTTCACTGGAAGTATAAAACGCAAATGTGTGGGAATGTTTTTCTGTTAATGGATTGGTGAGGAGAAGAGTTAATAGTCAGTCTATTATCTTTTTTTTGGTCTTTCTGTCCAAAGTTTCCCTTGTTTTGTAGAGCTGAGACATTCCATGGCTTCTCATTGTTCTCTGCCTGACCCTTCCTAAATTTATATTTGCTGACACTTTTTTTTAAATGTTGCAATTAAAAGCGTTGTCCATGAGTACTTTAGGATTCTGATGCAATAAATGGTGACTGAATGAATAATGCCCAGGTCACATGACATTTTAAAATTAAGAATTTTTTCCCCACCCCAGATTATTTAAATAATCGCAAAAGTGGAAAACTTCAGGTGCTAGAGATAGTCAGCACATCATCCAGCATCTATGGGGAGAAAAACTAAGTTTCACGTTTAAATTTGTTCTCTTTTTCATTGCCATCTGAACTGCAATTTCCAGCATTGGTTAACTTTTGTTTTGTTAAACTCATTAGGTGAAGGAATTGTGAAAACACTAGTCATAATCTTCCATAGTACTGTAGATCTGGGAATTGTATAGACTGGAAATGTTCTATATCACTCCAATATTTGGGAAGACTAGGAGACAGAATTCTGGCCTTGTTGGTTCAATGACGTTTGTTTTGAAGCTACAAGAATCTGTCATTGGGATTAGAGGGCATTGATATTGCTTTGAGGGTAAGTAATGTTTGCCTAAGGATCAATTTTTGAGGTCACTAAAACAGTAAACTAAGAAAGTGAATATAGGTGTTTATATGGACTTCGAGGGCTTTCATTTAAGGTTTAACCATTAAAATTGATAATACACTGAACTGAGGTAGTGATTTTGACTTGAGTCAATTGGTTTGCCTATAGGGAATAGAATGGCAATAAAGGGTGTTGGTACTGTGGAAGGTGAGAAATTGTCTCTGGGTTTTACTCAGGTCCCTCAAACTTTCAACGTATCCTCGAGTAGCATGAAAGAACAAATAGAGCTGATCCTAAATTGGGATATACTGTAAGCACAAGTTGTGGAGGAAAAGGAAGCAAATGTGCAAAACTGTGGCAAATTGTGTTAAGTGAAAATAATTGGGTGTTCATCACACTGGCTTCCATAAATGGTTCTACCTCACTGGTCTGGCACCCTCTGTCATCCCACACCCCCAAGTCCAGTTCCAGTTCCTGTTTTGGTCTATGTGTAGTCACTGTTTGGGTCACAAGGTTGTAATGGTCACATGCACTGCCTGTGTACTCTTTATTGTTGCGATTTTTTTTTTTTTTTTTTTTTTTTTTTTTTTTTTTTTTTTTCTATCTGGATTAACTGATCGTATTGTTGGCCCCATCAATAAAAAGATTTTGTTTTGGTGCTCATAGCTGGGTGTATGAAAATGTAACAAGATTTGGGTGTTCAAGAATACAAATACTGCCAAAGTTATTGGATTCTTACAAGTTGTCATCAACAAGGCTAGTACAATATTTGCTCAATCTTTGAGGGTGAGATATAAAGAAGGAAAATTGACTTTGCCAGCAAACCACAATCACTCGCTAACAAGCATGATTATCCACCTAGGAAATTCCATGTCACTGGTCATGGGTTGTGTAGCTGATGAGCCTGATCCTAGAGCCACATTTCCAACCACACGTTTAGCAGGTGCTTCCCAGAGAGCAATTGTCACTTTTGCCGTGAAATTGCTGACATTCATTTTCCGGGTCCTTTTCCATACTTCTTGCTGGCGGGTGTTCTCCAAAGAATTGTATCCCTTCATACTGGCGCTTCATTTAAGTTGGTTTCTTCTGAATGAAGACCTTGGCCAGACCTTGTGGTGTTGAGTTCTGTTTGATCTAATACAAGGATAGATTGCATGCACTCCAATTAATGTAAATTTACATGAAGTTAAATTTAAAGGGCAGCAAGTTAATTATAGTTCATTGAAATACAGAATATTGTGGATGATTTCACTGAGGTTTGAAACATTAAAAGGATTTGAAGTTACGGAGGAACTATTTTTGGAACATAGTGGATGCAAACCACATCCCTGAAGAATGATAAAGTACAGTCCATTAGTTCCAATACTTCAATGCAGTAAGATGTAATGCTCAATTGATGAGGAAATTGTCTAGAAATTCATTGGAATCCATCATAAGGAAACTGAGAACGTGGCTGCAAGTTGAAGACCAGCTAATAATAACTGCTTCATTCTTTCAGCTGATGAAACTCAACCAAGACTGGGATCAGATCTATCGTGCAACCACGACTGGACTTCAGCAAAGAGTGGCAACCCTCCAAATGGAAATTTCTGACACTAATCAGCATGCCAATGCACTTTCCAAGAAACTGGACAATGAGCAGGTAAAGATAGCACCATCAACCAGAATTATGAACCATGACTTCTAACATTTACTAATCAATAATCAAACATTAATGGTTTTGTGACATTCAGCATTCTGGGCAAATCAATGTTTCCGTGTTTAGTACAGAGCTAGTGTACTGGATCCCTGTTTAACCTGATACTTGGCTGCCTTGATACATGATCTATACAGCAGATAGGCCTGCTGATACCAGCATTAGGAACCCAGATTGTCAGTAAATAGTTAGAAATGGAAGAAAAATTAAAGTGAACTGGGAAGAAAGATAATACACGTAGCAAAGAGGGCTTTAAATGGATGAGAATAAAGGATGATCTGAAGAAATAGTAATGAGGCAGAAAGAGACAGAACAGAGGTTTGCAGCAATATTGGGAATAAGAATGGAAAAGCTGGGAAGCAGTTTGAGCTTGTAGATTAGTAAAATTTGACAACTTTGGATTAGGTACTTGTTCAAAATCTGTGTGCCCTCATTAGTTTCTATTTTTATTACCTATTTTAGAAGTCTGTAATCACAGTAAAAATTGTAATACCAGACGTACCCATAATGCAGAATCTGTATCATTTTACTGCAGTCTGTGGTGGATCCTTTATCTCAGTCACACTGTTGAAGGTCACTGTACTGATTCTACACGGAATATCAACTGTACTTGTAACATTATGGCCACATGGATTCAGCTCCTAACTGTTTTCACTGTCGCCAGACTTGCTGTTGTTACACAGCAAGGGCCACAGTATTGAAGTGATAAACCCAACTCCATATTGAAATCAAGACACTTATTATAGTTAAAAGGTAGTCACTATTGTCCTACCGTCAGACGGACAACTGAAGGTCACTATGCCTTGGGCAAGGGACAGGTTGAACGTAGAACATAGAACATTACAGCGCAGTACAGGCCCTTCGGCCCTCGATGTTGCGCCGACCTGTGAAACCAATCTGAAGCCCATCTAACCTAAACTATTCCATTATCATCCATATGTTTATCCAATGACCATTTAAATGCCCTTAAAGTGGGCGAGTCTACTATTTTTGCAGGCAGGGCATTCCACGCCCTTACTACTCTCTGAGTAAAGAACCTACTTCGGACATCTGTCCTATATCTATCACCCCTCAATTTAAAGCTATGTCCCCTCGTGCTAGCCATCACCATCCGAGGAAAAAGGCTCCCACTGTCCACCCTATCTAATCCTCTGATCATCTTGTTTGTCTCTATCAAGTCGCCTCTTAACCTTCTTCTCTCTAACGAAAACAGCCTCAAAACCCTCAGCCTTTCCTCATAAGACCTTCCCTCCATACCAGGCAACATCCTGGTAAATCTCCTCTGCACCCTTTCCAATGCTTCCACATCCTTCCTATAATGCGGTGACCAGAACTGTACGCAATACTCCAAGTGCGGCCACACCAGAGTTTTGTACAGCTGCAACATGACCTCATGGCTCCGAAACTCAATCCCTCTACCAATAAAACCTAACATACTGTATGCCTTCTTAACAACGCTATCAACCTGGGTGGCAACTTTCAGTGATCTATGCACATGGACACCGAGATCTTTCTGCTCATCCACACTACCAAGAATCTTACCATTAGCCCAGTACTCTGTATTCCTGTTACTCCTTCCAAAGTGAATCACCTCACACTTTTCTGCATTAAAATCCATTTGCCACCTCTCAGCCCAGCTCTGCAGCTTATCTATGTCCCTCTGTAACCTACAACATCCTTCTGCACTATCCACAACTCCACCGACTTTGGTGTCATCCGCAAATTTACTAACCCATCCTTCTACGCCCTCATCCAGGTCATTTATAAAAATGACAAACAGCAGTGGCCCCAAAACAGATCCTTGAGGTACACCACTAATAACTGAACTCCAGGATGAACATTTCCCATCAACCACCACCCTCTGTCTTCTTACAGCTAGCCAATTTCTGATCCAAACCGCTAAATCACCCTCAATCCCATGCCTCCGTATTTTCTGCAATAGCCTACCATGGGGAACATTATCAAACGCTTTACTGAAATCCAAATACACCACATCAACCGCTTTACCCTCATCCACCTGTTTGGTCACCTTCTCGAAGAACTCAATAAGGTTTGTGAGGCACGACCTACCCTTCACAAAACCGTGTTGACTATCCCTAATCAAATTATTCCTTTCTAGATGATTATAAATCCTATCTCTTATAATCCTTTCCAACACTTTACCCACAACCGAAGTAAGGCTCACTGGTTTATAATTACCAGGGTTGTCTCTACTCCCCTTCTTGAACAAGGGGACAACATTTGCTAGTCTCCAGTCTTCTGGCACTATTCCTGAAGACAATGACGACATAAAAGGAGAATCCTTCATGGTGGACTCTCAGGCATGGTGGGAATTGAACCCACACTGTTGGTGTCACTCTGCATCGCAAACCAGCCACCCAGCTAACTGAATTAACAGTGACTTCTTCACTTTGAAAGTGATTACTTGGAAACACTTCTTTTTTTTAAAATGTCTTAAGGATATGAAATGCTCTATCAATTCAAGATTTCATTTTTGCAAAACATGTTAAACTGCTGGCCAACTTACCTAGGCCTGCCATTTTTTTAACTGCTACAAACTGCCTTTATCATTTTTATCATGTACTCTTCAAATTATATTCCACCCAGGTCTGTCTTGATCAACATTAAGCGCAGTTACAGATAATGACGAATTGTATTTGAAAATCTTCTGATCCAATTAGTCAAGGAACATTAATTTTAATCCAAATGCCGAGCCACAATTAAATCATGACCTGTCTGTAAATAAGAAATTTTATCAATTCAAAAGTAATGATAGGGACCTCTTACTATACGTAACTTCATAATAATGTTTGGGCTTGTTTAGACATGGATTTCATGTATGAAGGATATTCTTGCCTCATTTTTGATATTCAAGATGGTTTGAAGGTTTTTAAAAAAAAACTGACAGCAACCACTGAAACTGTTGAGTCTTCCTGGAACAACTGCCTTACAGCACCGAGGACTTGTGTTCGATTCCACCCTCTAGCAGCCGTTTGTGTGGGTTTCCTTCCACAGTCCAAAGATGTGCAGGTTAGGTGGATTGGTAGCAATAAATTGCCTGTGGTGTCTGGGCAGAGTGGATTAGCAACGGAAAATGCAGGATTTCAGGGTTAGGGTAGTGGTGTGGGTTTGAACGGGATGCTGTCTGGAGGGTCAGTGTGACTCCATGGGCCAAATGGCCCGCTTCCACACTCTAGAGATTCTATTGATCCTAGTTAATAAAACTAGCAAATTATCTTTGCATAGGATCAAAACTGCTGTCTCTTAACACAGTCACTGGATTGTCTTACTAATTTGGATGGAGTTTGTAACTCAAAACCTTGACAGTGGTATCACTGAAATACAAATATACAGTACGCCTCAACCTTAACATGTTTTGATTTATTCAAACACACTTTGTTTTTCTGTATCCAAACTCTCTGCTTAAGAGACCTGAGCTAACTTTCCTGTCGCCTGCGCCCCAGGGACCACTTATTTTCCAAATCCAAAGCAGAATGAAAAGAGGGAAGATCCATGAGAGTGCCTCCCCAAACTTTTGGATGCTTCAGGTTTTCTGGACTTTCTCTGGGAGGAGATGCAGTCAGAATGCTGGTGCTGATATCATGTTAATAAAGTGTGTGGGAACATTCTAGCCATTTCTGTCTCAACTTCTGCATAAAGCATGCTGTCACTGAGTTGAAAGGCCACCCTACTAACACTGAGACTGCAACAGCCCTTGGCTTTTCACATTTTACATTTCAAATGCAGACCCCTGCTCAGGGCAATGAAAATGATCAGAACCTAGAACTTTGAGTTATTCAATTTGCTTTTTTTTGAGAAATGTGGAACTAAGGCTCAAACAGAAGTTCCAAAAGAAAAATCAGCCTCCAGAATATGCACAGTTTCCAGTTTAAATCCAAATTTTGTTCATTAGAGAGATATTTCCAAGTAGACTGTTTATTATCCAGAGCCCCTGTTCACCTGAAGCTGAGTAAAAGCTTTTTGGTATCACTTTCTCTAATATACTGTGTCTTCACCTCTAATGCTCACTCTCTTTCTAGCTTTATTTCTCCAGCAGCATTTCTAATCTGTAACTAAAGTGGCACAGGTGTGTAGCTCTCTCAAATACCACATTCACGTGATTTATGGAAGTTTTTACAGTCACCATTCATCAATTGTAAAAACCCATCTGGTTTACTGTCCTTTTTTAGGTAAGGAAATCTGTCATCCATACCTGGTCTGGCTTGCAATGTGGTTGACTGTTAACTGTCCTCTGCAATAGCCTACTTGCCACTGGGTCCAAGGGCATTTAGGGATGGGCATTAAATGCTAGCATTGCTTATACATTCACATCCCCCAAATGAATAAAAGTAAACTCCTAATGTTACTATAGTATGGTTGAACACGTGAAGGCTGATGGAGGGTTTTACTGAACTTGATTTTCCCACAAGTTTTTTTTTAAATCTTTTAGCCTGTCTTTCGCTTGCATTAACGATAGGAAAATGCTTGGGAAAAAGTTCTGAGTGACAGAATTCCTTGAATCAATGACTAGGTGCACAGATGAGGATAATGCTGTTGAAGTAGACTACATGGATTCTAGTAACGTTTGACAAACTATTGTATGGGAGAGTTGTCAAGAAGCTAAGAGCACATTGGATCAAAATTAGCTTAGTGGCAGCAAGCAAAGGATAATGGTCAAAGGGTGGTTGTCACTGGCAGCTTGAGTCCAGTAGCATATTACAGGATTTGGTGCTGGCTCCCTTGCAACATGTATGTGTAGAAGGTTTGATCAGTAACCTTGAAAATGATATGAAAATTGGGGAGGGAGTGGTGGTAAATAATGAGGAGGAAAGGCTTGGATGGCAGGATGATATCAACAGGTTTGGTCAGATGGGCAGAACAGTGGCAGATGGAGTTAAGTATGCATTTTGGGAGGACTAACAATGGAGGGCATGGTATGTGTCAAATGGTAGTACCCTTGGAAATAGAGGGATCGAGGGATGTTGGTGTGAATGTCCACAGATCCTTTAAGACAGATAAGGTGGTTAAAGATGCATATGGGATACTTGCTTTTATTTATTAATGCATTGAATGCAAGGGTGAGGGGGATGTGATGGCTTTTGTGAGAAGTTAATTAAGCCATACTAGAGTATTGTGAGCAGTTCTGGTCACCGGCCTATAGGAAGGATGTGATCGCACCAGAGGGGGTGCAAAGGAGATTCACCAGGATGCTGCTGGGGCTGGAGCAATCAGCCAAGAAGTGAGATTGGATAGGCTGGTGGTGTTTTTCCTGAAGTGAAAAAGGGACGGGTGTGGCAGGAGGGGGGATGGGTACCAACTTTGAAGTGCACAAAACTGAGGAATGTAGAGAGGAGATGGGAAGAACTTTTCCCCTTAGTACATGGGTCAATAACAAGTGTACAAAGATTTAGCACCTGTCTGAGGGGAAAGTTTTTCTCTCTTCCCCTCCCCCACCCCCACCCCATCTACTCTCTGCATACCCTTCACAGATTCAGACAGAATTCAAGAATTCAACCTAGAGTTTGGTGGGTATCTGGAACTCCACCTAAAAGAATGGTAAAGGTGGGAACCATCAATGCATTGAAGGACTATTCAGGTGACCACTTAAAGACATAACATAGAAAGCTATGGGCAAAGTGTTGGAAAATGGAGCTAGGTAGCTGGGTGCTCGATGCTTTGATGGGCCTCTTTCTATGCTATTAAACTGAATAACACATCCACCATTTTCATTTTCATCAGGTTAAGTGCATTAACTCAACAGCATTCTCACTGTACTCACTCCACAATATGGCAGATGGATCTTGAGTACCTCAGCTACCTGTACTGTCTCTATCATTCTCTTACTTTCATACAAATCTCACTGCCTCAATCATAATACGGTGCCCAATAAATCCCCTCAGTGCCTCAGTTGCACAGACACGTCCAACCCACATTGCCTTAATTGTGTCTAGATTGCCCATTACACATTGATTCTCATCTATATGCCCTCCCAACTCCCTTTTCCTGGTTAACATCACCTTTCACATTGCAATAACAAAGCCCAACAAAATCTATACAAACAGAGAAGTTCACTTTACATTCTGTAAATGAAGGTGCTTTAACCTTGAATACTTAAATTGTTCAGTCACAAGTATAATCCAATAATTGTACTGTGGCAGTGCCATATGACTATCAATACAATTCTTTCATTAAAGAGTTCCAACACTTTAGAAATCATTGCAAAAGTTAGTTATTACAATGTACAGAGTTACTGGCTACAAACTGAAATATTATGGAAATATATCCCTGTTATTGCACAGGATCTTGAATCAGCACTCCTTTAGTCATACAAAGGCCGCAAATACAGCAGCATTCAACTGGCCAAAGCAAAACCTGTGCTATGACATATAATGGGAAGACATTAGCACAATGTGGGAAGTTGAAAATCCCCTGTTCCTTTTTCTGTCAGCAAGTATTAACAAACAGACAAGTGAAAATGCTGACGTCTGACCTGTATGTATACTTTCTAATTTATGTCAGTCTAGCTGCAATTACACCCAAATTGGACCATTGATACAGCAAGAGTAGAGACAATGAATCCAAATTAAACTCCTCCATTTCAGTTGCTATAAATTTGTATAATGACATTGAGCAGTATAGAATTGGTTTTTAATAGACTATACATCTGTCATCATCCAGAGAGTTTATTTATTTTAGTTTTAATTATTAGATTATGAAAGTTTCCATTTTGAGATCTATTATTTAGGTCTCTTGTGGCAATGTTTTTCTCTTGCCATTCACTTGTTAATGTTTGGGATAACTGATTTTAATTTGTTTAATTAATGCAAAGGTTCACTTGATCATGCTGCCAATGTTAGGAACTGGTATCAACGTCATTAATTACTTCATTAAATATTTCATACCTTTGTTCATTTTGAAATTAGCACAAAAGAGAGTATTACGAGCAGTCATTAATCCAAGAGATGAAGAAAAATCAACAGCTCCAAGAATATGTGAGACAATTGGAAAGTAAATTACACAACATGAAACAGACAGTCCAACCAAACTTGGTAAGTTTTTTAACCCATAACTAGTTAGAATAGAATTTGACATGTGCTGGGTGAGATTTGTTCCCACTTTGTTGTGAATGACCAGTAAAATTTGCTTCAAGTCAAGGACAGACTTTTTTTATCCATCAAAGATTGTTCCCTCCAGTATTGCAGATCAGGGCATTGTTTCCAGCAACATCTTAAACATTCCTGTTGCCTTGAACACAGTATTTGTCACAAAGTTGCATCCTGTGGATTCCTGCACTTGTGTAACAAAATTTACTGTCTTACCACAACAGTTTTAAAAACCCAGAGGCAATGAAAATGACTGTCTTAAACAGTTATTCTCAACAATGACTCATGTCCTCATGCCAAACATTTAACACCAAGTAAATATTTACTTTATTGATAGGCATTGCAAAGTTACATTTCACAAATTTTAAATTTGTAGTCTGAACCAGCTTAGTTGAAGCATACTATAGGTATCTGCTCTGCATTTACCTTGCCTGTAAAACAAAAATTTTGATTCAATTACATCGGTAAGTTTGTCTGTGTATTGTACTGCTTGCATTTCTACAAACTGTTTTCCTTGGCTTGTTGCCTCTTCTGTGATTATTCTTGGTATAGTTTTGTACTTCTACTGATGCATGTATATCCTTATACTCATGAATGGATATTATTCCAATATATTCTAATCAAGTGCATTTTAAAGTCTTGGAGTGTGACTGCGGTGTATAACTCTCCAAATCTCTACTTTTTAGTGGAACTAGAATCTAAACATCACTTTAATCCTATTTGGATATTTGTTTCAAAAGCCCATCTCTATAGTGCCATAGGTTTAAAACAAAACACTGATTTTAAGAGTTAAGTAGGCCTAAGATTAAATTGTTTCACTTGATATCTCAATTTAATTGAGGAAAAAGTTTTTCCATATTTTAATTTACAACAAAGATGAGCTTAACAATGCTATCTCTTGTTTAAAAAGTAATGTATAAACTGCAGGATGGAGAGTTCCTCATACCATCAATTCCATCTAACTAAGCTATCCTCAGTGAGCAATTTCAGATAACATTGCCATGGTATGTATCTCAGTTACATTCCTGGTTGGAATTACAAGCACCAGGTATGCATTGAAACATTGCAATCAATTTCACAATGATTTTGGAACCTCAAATATGACGCACCGTGCATCAGTGCCGCAAGCGAGGACTTCTGGCTGCAGGACCTTGCAAATGCCCTATACTTGTGTTGGTAGACCCCTGTTCAGAAGATAAGTTCTACTTTTTTTTATTATCATTTTGTAGTCTGCGGACGAGGTGCTGGTGTGGACTGGGATGGAAGGACTAATTCTGAACATTTTATTGCTTTATTTTTCTATTTTATTCCTAACAGTCAGTCAGATGGTGCTCTAAGTGGTGACTTGTAAACTTTTCACTGTACTTGTGTGACAATAAATGCTACTAAATGCATTACTCAACAGTTATACTAACTGCTCCACATATAGTGACAGAGTTGTTTTCACTGACACAAGTTCATTTTTTCTGATTAGTTGTCCCTTTTGAGTATAATATGAAACCGCTAGAGGGTTATTTGGGCATCAAATGTTGGTGAAGGAAGCCTTATTGAAAGAACAAGCAGCAAGTAAGGGAATTGAGATGGAAACAGATTACATAGACATTGAGAAGAGTAGGGAGAAGCTGGTAAGGGGGTGAGGCAGCAAGAGATAGAAATTGCTACCTAGTACATCAGTTAATACTGTTCAAGTCAGCTTCCTTCAAATAATAAAGTGCAAATGCGTAAGAGGCTATGACTTATCCAAACAATGTTCATACCCACTGTGCTCAGGTCTAAAATTAAATCTCAAGGTCTCTACAGCAGACCCCAATTAGCAGTTGTCCACGTCACCATGGCATTGGATTTTTCTGTATCTGGATCAGCCATGAACCTGGGTGGTATCCTGCAAACATAGGTCATAGATGCATCTTTTTAAATGATTTGGGCTTTTCTGTTACGGTTTAATTGTCTTGGATCAAAGAGAACTATTGATTTGGTGCCTTGATGACAACATGAGCACATTGGACTGGCCAGCCCAATTCCTGCCTAGAAAATCTTTCCACTCCCAGTGATGCAATTTTGGACTGAGACCACCAGAAGTGTAACTTGCAGCTCTGTACTCATTTGCTGGGTAGCTGTCATATTTCCCTCTCTATCCTGAGCGAAAGAGTGTCTGCTAAGGGGTTTCTTAAGTTGCTCCCTGAAACTCAGCCAGTAACCAAACATGAAGTAGTGAGCAGCGACAACCGAAGTCATCTCCTAACATGCATGCAATGGACTGTTACCATTTTCAAGATCTGTCCATTGTTTTGACAGATGATGCTCTTGAGTACAAACCAGCCAGGGTATGTTGTATTGCGGAAATGTGTGTGCTGGAGAAATTCAACAGGTCTGGCAGCAACTGTGGAGAGAAACAATGTTTTGAATCCAGTAATGACTTGTTTTGAATTGAAGAGGGGAATGGAAAAGTGATAGATTTTACACAGTAGACAAAAAGTAATGAGTAGATGCAAAAGGAAGTTCAATGGAATTTGGCACAGAACCGAAGGGATTAGTAGTAGTTGGAGAGAAGGGTTGTGAACCCAGAGTAAATGTCCACAGCAGAATAAAAGGTCAGTTACGCTGAGAGGAAAACTAGACATTGGGGGTGGGTAATGAAAACGCAGGACAGAATTCATGATCTGAACTTGTTGAGCTCTGAGTCTAGAAGGTTATAAAGTCCCTAAGTGGAAAGTGAGATGCTGGTACTCTAGCTTGCTTTAGCTGACAATGGAAGAGTGCAGCAGAACTACAGTAGAAATGCAAGCATCGGAGCAAGTTTGGGTAGTAAAATGGCAACCAACTGGAATGTTGGGGTTATGTTCATGAACTGAGTGGAGGTGTTCCACAAGCAGTTAGCCAGTCTGCATTTGGTCTCCGTGTAGAGGAGAGCATATTATAAGCGGCAAATAAAGTACCCTTGGCTGAAAGAAATACAAGTAAATCTCTACTTCATCTAGATGGAGTGTTTGTACCTTGGAAAGTGAGGGGGTGGAGGTGATTTGGCATGGAAGGAAGTGTCCGTTTTTCTTAAAGCAAAGGAAGTGAAGGAGTTTGGTATGTGATGGTGTCATACTGGAGGTGATAGAAATGGACTGGGGTAATCCTTTGAACGTAGAGACTGATGGGGTGGAAAGTGAGTACAAGGAGTCCGTCATGATTCTGAAAGGGATAGGAAAAGGTAAGGGTAGAAATGCAGGAAATGAGTTGAATGCATTCGAGGGCCCTCTCCGCGGTGGAGAGGGGTTGGATCCTTAATTGAGGAAAAGGCTTGTCGGAAATGCCACTGTGAAGGTAACATCATCATCAGAATAGATGCAACAATAGACTGGAGAAACTCGACGTATGGAATGGAGTACTTGTAGGATGTGAGGCAATACAGTCACGGTAGCTATGGGAGTTGGTAGGCTTGTAATGAATAGTGGTAGACAGCTTAGCCCCCAGAAATGCAGACATGAGTCATGTCAGAAGGGAAATATCAAAGGTAGACAAGCGAAGTTGAGACTTCTCAGAAAGTAGAGGTACTCCAGAGGAGAGTGTTGCCAGGGCATTAAAGGAACTTAGCTTAGGTGGGTTTGGGTCAAACTTTTTTTTTCCTCCAAAATGTACCATGGCCCTGCAGGAAACACATCTGTCCTGGCTCTACGTAACTCTTGACATCAGGCAACACTAACATTATAAGTCATTCTTTGTTTGTAAACTTACCATTTCACCAGTGAAAATTCAGATGTTACTCATCTGCTGAGCTAGGAAGTATATTCCAACATCATTACCAGTCTCCAGGCACTATATTGCCAGCCACAAAAAACTGTGTGTCTGCATGTATTCATTTATAAACAACACATTTATAACAATTTGAAAGTTTTTTAGTTGTCTTTTTACTATTGCACTGCATTGCCATGTAATATTAATGTTAGACCTGAATTTGCTGCAATTGTGGTGTGATGTGAAAACTATGGCAGTGTCTGTATTTTCTGAAAATATTTGTATCATTCTTCAGAAAGATGAACCGTGGAGACAAATTCTACACAATGAGAAATCAAATGACATCTATCCGCAGTCACAATCAGAACATAAAGACATAACACCCTCCTCACCAAAACGTGTTCAAATCTCCGAGAAGCCAAGGGAGCACAGTCAGTGCAGACTGACAAAGGTAGAAGCAGCCCGACATGCAATCAGCAATGGAGTGTCTCAAAAGGACTGTAAAGAGCTTCAGGACCAAATGCTTGCTCTCGTCTGTCAGGTAAGAAGTAATCGTATCTCCTTGGAATCTTGCTTTCTTAAAAAGTTAATTTGTGGTAGAATGTTACTTGATTGTAGCTATCCAAGATCCATGGAGAGAGAAAATCTGAGTTTAAAAGGTGGAATTGTGCTACTTTTTGAAGATTTGAGAGGTTGGCATCAAAAGTGGGCCCAGACCCCAAAGGATACATACCCATGTATTCTTATCGGAGGTGCTAATTAAGACGTCCAGTGCAAACTTGATTGTCCTGACAGGAGGCCATTTGGTCTAACCAGTCTGTTTTGCCTCCAGACACACCATTGACTTATGAATGGTAGGCAATACATGAATGTGTCTGAGCCAGTAGGAATGCCTGCACCACTGTCCTACCTGCAGCCCAATAGGAGAGGTGTACACTGCTGCACACACAAGAGAATGTAAGGATGCTTCAAGGTGGAGCTGTCTTCTGAAGAGATCAGAAACTTTTTAAAAGTATTTGTGGTCAGAGCTACTAGGCTAATACTGTGGAAAAGAATACTCCACACAAGCAGTTTTCGGGTGAAAGCCTAAATGAAGTAGGACCTCGCTGCTACCCAGGGTCGATGCTAGGAGGCTGCCCGTGGGGGTCCTGTTGGGTTTTCCCTCCAAGCCACTCACCATCCTGACTTGGAAACATATCACCGTTTTTTTGTTTTCACTCACTGGCTCATATTGCTGGAAATCCTCAACAGTGTTAGAGGCCGACTGACACCAAAAGGACTGCAGTGGTTCCAGTAGGTAGCTAACCACCTTCTCAAAGGCAACTAGGGATGGTCAATAAGTGTCTGCCCAGTCAGCAGTGCTCCCATCCTGTTGGTGAATTTTTAAAAAAAAAATCACTTTAAGGTTGGAGTCTGTCCACCAAACCTGCCAGTAAGATTCCGCCCAATGTTTCAAGGTATTTTTCTCTCCTTTTCGATCAGAACTTGGAGAAGTTAGCAATGTAAACAAGCAAAAGCAAGGAAGCTAGACACAAGAACATATTTGATAGTATGGAATTCATCTAAACGTTCTCATTTCTACTCCCTTGACAGTTCTGTAACAACTCCATTCCATTCTCCCAGTTTTTATACTTGTCACATTCTGATGAAGCAACTTTCAATATCCAATCGGATAAGGATACCCCAAAATCTATTTGCTTGATGTGCAGGCCCCAAGGTCTGATTTTACCGTTAATTTACGTGAGACAGTCTTGGAGTGGAGGCTTCAAGCCAGCGTTAAGTCCCCTTTATTTGCCTGTACAAAGGTCTGATCAGAAAAGAATCAAAAGATCTTTCAGATTTTGGTGGAGGTTCTGAATATCACGACAATTGTTTCCCCTAATCGGGCAAGAGATGTGTGTACTTCATGCCACGTAGGAACCTCTTTCAGCACCTGTGCATCCTGCATTGGATGGTCATGTTTGTTGACTGTTTTGATCATAGCTGACAAATTCATCATGGTTTAATTTCCAATCTGTAGAAAATGATTCATAATTTTTTGAAATATAGACAAAGCTTTATGAATCCGATTATAAGACAGAACGCAAAGACCGACAGCGCACACAAGCTGAAAATGAGAAGCTGAGGAAGAAAACAGAAGAAATGTATTTTCAAATGAACCTTCTTCAACAGCAGGTTAGCTAAACTTCATTATTCCAAGCTTGGTATAATTTGTGACCTTGCATGAGCTTAACCACGTATCATCATATAAAACCACTTTATTTCAGTAATATCGCTCGATTTTTGTTTCTGCTCCAATTTGCCTGTTATGCAACACTCATTTGTGCTGCTGATATTTCCAGTCTAAACACTCCAAAGCTCTTCTGGTTGACCCTCCATAAACTTGACCTTCGATAAATGAGTTGTCCAGAACAGTTTATCTCCTAACTTTCACCAAGTCCCAATCACCAGTCAACCCTGATCTATGATCTCCTCCAAATCGTACAACCCTTTGATCTCATTGTTCACCTAATTTCAGTCCACCTTAAAACTAATCTATTTAGCACTTTGTACCTCCACAGTCCTGTGCTTTCCTACTCAGTTGCCGGCAGAAACCTCCCATTATTTCCAAGAACAGTAAGACAAATGAAAGGCATACGTGACATGTTTTCCTGGTGTGAGTCTGTGTGTATATATTTATGACATACGACCCTTGTTTGACTCCCTATTGGAGTCATACCAAATGCTAAACTTTATTTTAAGAAAAGCTATACATAGTACCCCAATTTACCTGCCTTTCAGACCAAACATGGAATCAGATTTCTGTACTGAACAATTTATTTATTCTAAGTAGTTAGACTATAGCTACAAATCAGTAGATATAAACCATTCCACGTGACACTGCTAAATAAAGCTCCAATCCACTTTATAGACCATCTGTCCCATTGTACGCAAGCACTCCTTGTTGGTCTTTCTTCCCAATTCTGATGTTCATGATTTTATTTTGGCTAGTTAGGCCCTTTTTGCCTTCAATTGTCTCTCTGGAACCTTCTAGTTGGTAACAAGTACAGAGCAACTGTTTCTCCTGGAAAATGTCAGATTTATCAGTTCAAAAGTCACAGCTCACAGTAACTGCTGTAGGAAAGACAATTGGTTTTCTTCAAATTTAATTGAGAACAGGCAGTTACTTCTGGTGAGAACAATAGCACATACTTCTGTGTCTATGTCTCTGAAACTTGTTTCCAGTTCCAACCTTTTCATTTAGCTGTTGACCAACCAGTTTCACTTGGGAAGAATTCTTTGGCTCCTGATCATGTGCAGATTGAAGGAACCCCTAACTACATGATTTCACAGCAAGGAATGAAATACCTATTATGAACTCTTATGCAACCATTGTCGCAAATCCCGGTTTGTTAAGAACCATTCTTTCTCCTTGCAGTCACATTTTAAAGATAAAAGTAAACTGACATATTTCTTAGAAAACACAAGTCCTTCCTGAGGAATCCTCTACTTTTTTAAGCAGCTGTTATACCTCAAAGTTCTCTCTCTTCTACCATCACACTAAAAGTTTGTTTCTGCCTTTTTTCCACGGCTGATTACTCAGAGCTTAGAACAAGTTCTGTACCTTTTATGCAGCCTCCATTTTAATCACACTGCCATTGATGGCAGAAATCAAATTCCTTGGCCATAAACCCATGAATTATTTCCTTAAATCTGTCCGTTTTCCCACCCTATCCTCATCTTTTAAAGTGGTACTCACCAACGGAACTCTTTCATCTGTCCTCATGGAGAATGGTGATGTCTAACTTGATAATACAACCACAAAATTCCATGCATTTCATACTTTAAAAGGCATTGTGTATAAATGGAAGTTATTGTTTAAGTAAGTTAAGGTATTCTGGGCAGTTCAAGAATTCAAAATGGCTCAAGTTATTTTGATCAACTGATTAGTGGGGAGAGAAATTAGCAGTCTTAAATGAAATGTCAGAGGGTGTAACTGCAAAATAGCTTGATGTTTCCATTTCTGGAATAATAGTAAATAATAGAGCATAGCTGTTTTGCAAGTATTTAATTGTATTTAATGTGCATTGAAGCATCCATGATAACAATTGCATTGACGTAATCAAAATGATTTGCAGAGCAGAAATGTTTGCTTTCATTTGTTGTGGTCCTTTTTTTGTTTATCAGCGTCTTTTTTTTGGAAACGGTAAACAAGGACAGATTTGGCATCTAACTTCCTTTACTTTAATTAAATGATGTGCTTGCAGATGTGCAGCCACCAGCAAGAATTAGACCACACCCAGAGCAGGAAGTTTTGGAAGGTGGTTTCTGTTCTTAGCTGATTAAATTCATTAGACTTGATGAGAACTTTGCATCCAGTATCTTTAGTTTCTTACTTTAGGAAGTGTTTTAGAATGCCTCTTTTGTTCTAACACACAACAGGTTTTTTTTCTTTCTTCACAGTAGAGCTTGCTTCTAAAATTCCTTGCAGGATTATCCCTGAAGTATCAATGGAACTTCTCAGGCTGCCTCCAATAATTATGCAAGAGCACTAGCATGGAGCAGATGGGTGAAATCACTTGCTGCAAAAGAACATACAAAAAGAGCTTCCCTAATCTAGGCAATGATTGCAGAAGTACAAAAACAATTCTCTTTACATTGGCCTCTTTCCTCTGCTGCCCCATTTATTTTGTTTTTTTGAAGGCTCCTGCTGAATTTCCATTGTTAGCATTGGAGTGATGTTCCAGAGGGGTCTCATTATGACACTGGGAGAAGTAGCCAGGCCAAATCAGACTTGCTAACTCTTGATATCAGAGTGAAACTAAAATACTCAATGACCCTCAATTGCCCAATTCTTCCTAAGCAGCCTTTATGAATAACCAATATCAGACACCAAGTTTATAATTTAAAACAGCATTAATAATTTATTAACTGTAACTCTAGCAGAGCAAAGCTAAACAACAAGGCAATCTAATTAATGTCCAATTTAAACCCAAACCTCTTGATCACAGCTCACATTCTTGTTCTAAGGATAAACAGTTAGGGGATTTTTTGTTTAAATGTTGTGACTGGCTGGTTCACTTGCAGTTTCAAACAATAGTTGCTAAACTTCAGTCAATGGGTATTGAGTTGTTCACAACCACATGGGACTGTGTAACATGCTTGAATTCTGAGGTCACCAGCCCACACAAACAGCTTCTGTAGATCACTGGAGACTTCTACTTGTGTCTTACAGAACTTTCAATAATTCAATCACTGAATGTAGAGAGCAACCAAAACTTTCTCCAGTGACTTTCACAGCCACACTGTTTTCTGTCTAAAACCAATCCAAACTATTGCTTTGTTTCCTTTTTTTCCCATATTCTTTGTTTCATTGGTCAGCAATGGTCTCCCTTTGTCCCTTTTCTCAACATTCAAATAGTTGCCAGTTCTTGAGCATAACACCTTTGGTACCATCTCTCTCTCACCCCACAGGCTGTAGAGTTAGGGTGACGTAACCTGGTTTCTGTGCAAGACATTGAATGCAATGAGCAGCCTTGTTCAGTACGTTTGCTGTTCTGCACCAAAGTGGGAGTTTAAGTAGACCAAGTTTGTTAATTTGTCTGTATTCTGTTAGCTCAGTCGTAGAAACTCAATGTGGGCCTTATCCAGTCTACCACCAAAGATCCCCATTGCTACCCTCGTCCTCTAGTTCTGTGGCAATGGAACAGATCATTATCCATTTGCCCCTTTCTCAGCAGAGGTATTGTTTTGTCATGTTAACATGACATATACTGACTCCCTTTTTCTGGAGGGGAATGTATATGTCCCTATAAATTCCACTAGCTTTTCCCCTAGCCTCCAGCATTTGGCATGGGATGTGCTCTATTTTTGTTTCTTCAGTTAAAACAAAGGGCTTTCTTTGCCTCACCTCTTCTTCTCAGCACTACCCTTTCTGTCCAGAGGGCACCCAGAATATTCTGTCTCTGTTTCCTCTCGTTCTCCCTCCTCTATCCTCTCCAGTTGGTCGGGGGATGATTTCTTCTGGAGCAAGGGTTTGCAGATTAGGTCATAATCATCAGTGTATCACTTCCTGTTCCGAGGTATGGAGAGGGATGGAGTTTTTAAACTCGGAGAATTATTTCAGTTTATTGTAAGTAATTTCTCTCAAATGTCTGTATCCAATGATCAAGCAAGTTCCTTAAGCCTTTCAAATTCCACAGATCTGGTACAGGCTGTTTCCTGAGGGGATAGAATGCTTCACTGGATGCCTATGGTCCTAAATGAGATGCACTTGATTTTTTTGCTTTTTCTAAACTGTCTCAATGAATGGCTCTTTCCTCTGACAAGTAGTAGCACATTTTGTGCACTTTGCCTGAGCACTTATTCTGTCATACTAAGAGCTAATGTTGGAACGAGCCGTTTTAGCTGCTTTTCTACCCCTTGAGAAGGGAATAATTCCTAATTTTGAGGAGGCAGAAGTTAAGTAAACCAAGTTGCCTCTTCCCTCCAGTCTGAGCCAGTAATATCTATATAGGATAAAGGAGGGATCCTGGTCCTCAACGAATCATCTTGGTTCAAACTCTTCTCCTGAGGCAGCCTCATACATTTGTTCTCACTTTGAATTTTAATTTCCACCACTCCAGTTATAATCCTGCTACTGCTACTGCCTCTGCTCTGTTTTCAGTTTTCAACTTTATATGGTTGACCATCACTTTGATTTTTTTTTTCCATTTCCTGGCTTTTGGTTGAAACTCTCATCCAAAATGCTTTGCTAAACCTTTAACTGTTTTGAGGGATGGAATGTTCTAAATTTTCAAAAGTGATTTCCCTTAATTTTGCTCAATGCTTTGTCAACTGCAGACATTTCTATACTATAGCAATGCAAACTCAAAGCCTTTTGCAATTTTCACTTTTGCAAATGACAGTTTACCATCTTTACATTTGGTGGGCTCAAATCGCAGACTAGCCACAGTTTGTGTACCTTGCCAGCGTCTATTTGTAACAAACTGTTAAACTACCGGGTAAGGAGGCTCCTTTATTCAGCTACCTTTTTTGGCTACTTGCAACAAAGTTAATTCCAAAAGGATTCCTTCCCTTTTGGATACTTTTCTCCGAAACCACCAGGCTGTCTTAACTTAATAATCAATAAATTTATTAAGTGAAGAATTATTGATTATTGGTGAGGCCTCTTCCGAATGCTGTGCAGTTCTGGTCACCGTTATAGGAAGAATATTATTAAATTATAGGGTTCGGAAAACATTTACCAAGATGTTGCCAGGAATAGATGATTTGAGCTATTGAAATACGCTGGGACTTTTTTCCACGGGAATGTAGGAGGTTGAGGGGTGACCTTATGGAAGGTTAAAATCATGAGGGCATAGATAAGGTGAATAGCAAAAGGTCTTTTCTCTAGGGTGGGGGATTTTAAGACCTGGGGTCATATTAAAGTAAGAGGAGGAAGTTTTAAAAAGGATGAGGGAAACTTTTTTTAAAAAAACCTGTGGTTAGTGTGTGGAATGAACTGCCAGAAAGTGGTAAATGCAGCTACAAGCACAATGTTTAAAAGACAGACATTTAAAATAGAAAAGGTTTGGAGGATATGGGCCAAATGCAGGCAGGTGGGACTAGTTTAGTTTGGGAACATGGTCAGCATAGACTAGTTGGACCGAAGAGCATGGAAACAGATTGTATGATCTAGGTGCAGCTTTATGACAAGGTCTCAAGTTTACTAGAGAGTTCTGTTCCCCCTGCACGAGAGCACTGCTGAATTTGGACAGTGAGTCAGCTGATCTACATTCAACATTGATTCTCACTTTCTGTTGATCAGTATTTCCCAATGGGAATTGCTGCTTCAATAATGCACTTCATAGCTTCTTGTGTACTGTGAAATAAGTAACTGAGATTGAGAACAATTTTAAGTTGTTTGGAAAACAATAGAACATTTCTACTATAATCACCATTAGAGTTTGAGGAATTGTTTCTCCATTCTAAGTTTTGCATTAAATGGAGCTCGCTTTCCATGAAAGTGCTAGGAGCTAGTTAATGGATTCTGTTTCTCCTTGTGCTTAAATGATTTAAGATTCTTTTTATTAAAGGCACTCTATATACAAGTTATGTTGAACCAGTTTTCAAACTGCATAAGAATTGCTGTCAAATGACTAGTGCCTGGATTAATTTCTATTAGTGAACACTGACACTGCTGGTGTAATTACGTTAATCAACCTGTTCAGGCATTTTTATCACTATCCCTCCAAGATAGGTGGGTCTTGAATGCAGACATTCTGTGCCAGAGGTAGGGGCACTGCCACTGCACCACAAAACAACTATCCAGATGGAGTACAATGTAAAGTTGGACCAGACTGTAAGGCAGCTGATCAGCTAATCTAGTTAGTAGAGCTTTGGACAGAAACAGAAGACTATATACGTGGCTATATTTTTGGTAGGTCATGTTTTCAGATGGACCTTGTATTGCAAGTAATGACTTTTCCTCACATGGGTTGTGAAATATAATGATGTCACAGTGTGTTGGAGTAGCAATGGTTGATGCTTAATTTGTCTCGTAGTAGACTTGTTCCCTGTTTATTATACTACACCACAGTACAACTGGACACTCATGACATTTGCCATAATGTAGTCATAAGCCCACAGAATCAAATGTCCAGCAAGTGGGTGGGGTGTTTCATAGACTCCTATCGTTATGACTCAAAACTGTAGGAAAGAAATGTCACTTAGCAATATAACCCCAAGAGAAAGAATTGCATCATTGGAAATCTTGAAAAGTATATTTTTTAAAAAATGAATAGAATATCTGTTTGAAAAAGTCATCCCTTGTGGCCCTCGTGTCCCAGTTTTTGGACCTCGAGTGAGAGATGTTGAAACTGAGTCAGAAGCACAACAGAAATGTCACAGAAGTTTTCATGTAACCTCAGTATCTTTTTTGCCTTCTTAGCCAGGTGACGGATAATCAGCTCCTCTTGCCATAACAAGACATTGCTGTATTCCCATTAGAATTACTGAGCTTCTGATTATTGTTTTACTTTAAAACTTTTAATTTTTATTGCAGCCTACCCCATTAAGCTGGGCAGGACCCTCTTGCAGGCCTCTCAGTACTATAATGTTAGTTACACCCTAACAACATAGAGAAGGATTTTCAAAAGGTGGTTTTCCATATTTGCATCATTCTCCCTGCCATTTAGCATTTCTCCCAGTTAACTTGACTGCAATCATTAATCCAGCATAAAAGGAGGAAATGCTTTTTGTCCGTGAAGGCAGAAATGAAAACAATTGATGGAAATTGGACAATAACATGAAAGAATAAACTTTCAAGGCTACAAGTATCAAATAGGAAAGTGGAATCAATTTCTATTGCTTTGTTGAGAGCCACCATGAACTCAAATGGGTCAAATGGCCTCTTGTGCAACATTGACTGACTTCAGCTATGCTAAATACTGAAATAAGCATATTATATTTCACAGGGTGTAAATAATAGTGCATCTTTTGGGATGAATAATACATATTTGCTTCTGTGAAACACTTTGGTATACCAGCGCATTTCAACACTACTTTATAGTCATAGAATTCCTACAGTGGAGAAAGAGCCTATTTGGCCCATTGAGTCCAAACTAGCTCTCCAAAGAGCATCCCACCTTATCCCCGTAACCCCACATTTACCACATCTAATCCCAACTAGTCTATGCAACCCTGGACACTAGAGACAATTTAGCATGGCCAATCCATCTAACCTACACGACTTTGGACTGAGGGAAGAAACCAGAGCACCTGTTAGAAACCGTCAGACATGGGGAGAATATGCAAACTCCACAAAGATAGTCAACAGTGGCTGGAATTGAACTCAGGTTCCTGGCACTGAGAGGCAGCAGCACTAACCACTGAGCCATTGTGCTACCCTTAAAGATATGCTGAGGTTGAGATGAAGAGGGACTTGAACCCACCATGCTCTGATTCAAAGGCAACAGTGCTACCCACTGAGCCATAACTGCAACCTTTCTGGGCAGTTATTTCTTTGACTGTTTATTCTTGATTTCTCTCTTGCTTTGTACCTACTGAGATTAGTGCCTCAACAAAATATTTTGCAAGGATATCTTTATGGGAAGTAATAACTAAGTGTGGATGGAGTATGTGTGTGTGAAGATATTAATGTAATTACACAATTACTTTTAACCACTACTGTAAATAGTTATTTGAGCACTACCTTTTTCACACATCGGTGATTGTGTTAAAGAGCAAAGACTACACTCTTGACTTTAGCATTCACAAAAATGGTTGATCATGAAATGTTGTTTCTTAATTGTCCCTTATACCAGGGTTGGGAATGTTGACAGCAAGATTGAATCCCCAGGTATTAAGAGTCAAATCCTTCAGAGGAAAAGGAGATAAGAGTCCTCTTTGTGGTGCAGTGGTAGAGTCCCTACCCCTGGACCAAGAGACTCTGGTTCAAGTCCCACCTGCATCAGAGGTGTGTAATAGTATCTCTGAACAGATTGATTCAAAATGTTGGTCGGGGTTAATTAGAATTAAACACCATATGCTATGTTATTATTCTAACTCCGTGCTTCATTGCTTTCTTAGCTTAAGATTTACGAGGATGATTTCAAAAGGGAAAGATCTGATAAGGAAATTCTACAGCGTCTTCTAAAAAGTAAATCAGAAAGTAAAGAGCCAGTTCTAGTTCATCGGTGCAACAACACTCACCAGAAATCAGAGGCGAGGAGAATACAATGTGGGAAGCACTGTGTGGAACGACATACTGAATGTTCAAACCACCATAGATGCAGAGGTGCAGAAATTCAGGCAGACACATACTCCATAGGCTATCGTTAAAAGAAAATGCTCGAAAGTGGAAAGGCATTATCAAAAGTACATTCAATACTGTGGAGGACTTGCCATGCTAGTGTCTTTATTCAGAAATGAAGCAAGAAAACCTATAATCATAATGCATAGTCTATGTTATGTCTGAGAGCTTCATGACCTCTAAGTATAGGACAGCATCTTAAACATGTGAACACATTAACACATTTATATAAAATGTTATTGTGTCTCATTTTATAAATGGGTTCATATGCTGTAATTAAAATAGCAAACAATGTGTTTTACACAAACACAATTTGTTACTAACATCAATGTATAATGTATTTTTAATTCAGGACTTAATACTGTGTTTATTTTTACTTGTGTAATGTATATCTAAATGATGTTTTGTCTTTTCATTGGGTACAAGTGATAAATAACTACCACTTGAGTGGGAAGAAAGATTGCTTTCTTGCTCAAACTGACATTAACATATCTAAATGGTAGTATTACAGGTAGGTTAATATCGTTCACTTTGAGCCAGTGAAATAAATTTGTTACTTCTGATTTATTTTGAACCACAATGTGCTGCCAATATTTTTGCCGACTGAAAATATTGAAATCTATCTCTTGTCATTGGACTAGAGACCAAAGCTCAAAAGATGATAAATCAATCTTGAATGATCATACAACTGATGAGCAAAAGTTGTCTTCCTAGGCTAACCGTAGATATCAGGATGACCAAATGGAACTCACCATAAAAATGTTTGCGTTTATTGGTATGATCTTTGTAACCATAGTGGTGATATGTTCTCCATCAAACAGGGTCATCCCACTAGTTGAAGGTGAGGTTCAGTAGCAACCGTAACCTAACGGTTTATCGGTGATACTGAACTTTAGTATTACTGAAAAAACACAATAGCAAAAGACAACTTTTCCATTACACTTGTACTCATTAGGCCAATTTTCAAGAAATACAAAATGAAAAAATGTTTCGACAAAACGTTTTCCCAGCAGTGCTCAACTTTAACCTCAACATAAGTAACATACTTTGGATCTATGAGCATTTTTGTAATCTAGGTTTATAGGTAATTCCTACAGCGTTGTCGACCAATATTTCCTTAACACTTATGCAAGGCATGTGCCTCAAGTAGTTCAAACTATACAGAATAGATTATGACATCTGTGATTCTAAATCTTGTGCTATATTTCAAACTTAATTGTTACCAACTAATCAATTTGTATATTTAATTAAGTGTTTTAGCAAAGAGCTGTGCCAGCCATGAAGCTAATTGATAGGATTGATGTTTATCCTTCAATATCATTAATCTGTTAAATTTATATTGGTCATCATCACATTGCTATTTGTGAATCTTTGGGTATGTTAAGCACCTCAAACTGGGGGCAAAGTGCTTTGAAATATCCTGAGAGCACCAAAGATGCCAAATAGAACTGATGGGCTCTGTTTCTGCTTTAATTTAAGTGTCTTATGTTGCTAATATTGTAGTGTACTTTCCATCATCTTTATATACGTGTAGAGTATTATCTACATTTGGGGGAAAACATTAAAGGGGATATATTAAATACTATTTGGGAAATCTTGTTGGTAGCCTTGTTATGTATCACATTTGAATAAATTACTGACTTTTATAATGGAACAAGGACGTTACGACTGAGAATTACATAGAAATTTCTATCAAATTCTTAACAGTCAAAGTTGCATTGAACATATGATTATGTAACTAGGTTGTCCTCTAAGAAAAGTTTATAACATCTTGCTAATAAGATTTCAAAGAGGTATTTACTATTTTGGTTCCTAAATATTATTAATTTAAAATTTGCTAGTTTATTGGATGAATGGTACCATTTGAGGGGAAAATCTATGAACTTAGACCTAGGGCTTAAAATGTAGTGCCGCTGGAAAATGCAAGTAAAGAGATTATTTTCACAACAGTCTTCGAGCTTTATTTATCCAGTGCTGATTCAGTTATATCTTTTTAAAAAAAAAAATGCTTTTTGTTTCCAGTACGCACAAACTGTCTTTAGGGTACAAACTATTATGCCATTTGCAAAAGGAGCCAAGTTGTCTAAGTAAACACTTCTGCCTTGAGTAATGTGTATTTGCATCATGAAGATCTCCAAAGAATCATAGAATCTCTACAGTGCAGATACAGACCTTTCAGTCCATCAAGTCTGCACCAACCCTCAGAGCATCTCAAACACCCCTCCTCCCACCCAATCCCCACAACCACACATTTGCCTTTAAAGACAATCCTGTGACACAAATAGTGATCAAGTAATCCAAATGGAAATATTAAAGAATCAATTAAACTAGTAGAATATGTTGAAATCTGATTTTTTTTTTTAAATACAGAAGTGTTTATTCCACTTTAGATAAAATCAGCTTTATTTCATTTCACTTTTACAAGAGAGCTATTTGTATTCATATCTTTCCTTGTTCAAAAAAATGATATTACTGTTTAATAATAATAAACCTGAGGTCACTTTCAATCTAACAAGAAAATGAAAGATTTAAATTCTAATTTTTCATTATTCAAATGGAGTCAGTGCTTCCGTCAAGCTTTTTATTTTAAAAAAAAGTCTATTTGAGTTGTAGAGGCTGGTTGATTTAATTTTTTCCATTACACACACTTATCCTAATAAAATGACAAAAAAAAAGTTGCAAGATGAAGGGAAGGCTTCTTTCCTAATGACTTCAGAACAGGAGAAATTGAAGCGTAACACCTTTGTCATGTTACCCCCATCCTCATCTTGCCATTATTATACAGTCGGTGTACAGCTGATTGGTATCAGAAGTTACTAACGGCACTAAGTACTTATGGTTTGTTCAGTGACTGGATGGCTGGTTTGTGATGCAGAGTGATGCCAACAGCGTGGGTTCAATTTCTTCACCAGCTAAAGTTACCATGGAGGACTCCATCTTCCGCACACCTGCTCTCACCCACCCTTATCTGAGGCATTGTCACCCTTGTTAAACCATCACCAACCTTCTAAATAAAGACCGAAAGAACTGCGGTGCTGTAAATCCGGAACAAAAATGAGTTGCTGGAAAAGCTCAGCAGGTCTGGCAGCATCTGTGGAAAAAAAAAATCAGAGTTAATGTTTCGGATGTGGGGACTCATGGGTCACCATAGCTGAAACGTTAGCTCTGATTTTTTTTCTTCACAAATGCTGCCAGACATGTTGACCTTTTCCAGCAACTTCTGCTTTTGTTCCATCACCAGTCTGTCTCTAATGAGAGAGCACCCCTATCATCTGGTAAGACTATGGTGACTTGACCCTTTTTTTGTAAAAGCTAGTTACCACCTGTGATGTACATATAATAGTTGATGGGGTGTTAAATTTTCCATCATTGTTTGCAATAATTACTCCATATTACCTTTCTGTAAAAAAATTGTATCTTTTAAATGTTGATATACCTTATGAATACGGCCATTGCAATATATATATATATTCGTTCCTGATTTATTTCCCCAATTTTTTTTTATAATAAAAGCGATTGTTTAATGAACTGATTCAAAAATGCTTGTTGGATGTAAATTAAAATGCAATCAACAGATACTAAATTGTTGATGTATAGTGTGTGAGATTTTACAATGTTTTACTCCCTATTGTATTCAATTCATACCAAAGATGCTTCTCCATGCTGGGGTATGGTTTCAATTAGGCTAGCCATCCTTACTAACTCCATTTTCTTCTCCTGAGAGTGCATGTTCGTAAGCTTCTTGCCTGTTAGTTACATTACAACTGACACTGGTGCTTTCCTCAACCAAAGATCACTCTCTTTCCTTTAGGAGTCACGAGATGTTTGAAAAGCTGTAATGAGTTTCTCCTTCTTAACTTACTTACAGAGGCTGTGGTCAGTTCATATTAAAAACAAAGTTAAATATTATCCTGGTTTGTATGGTGCAAGATTACACCATGTAACAAACACATTCATGGGCAAAAGCCAAAGTTCTTCCTATCCAGTCTGATTTCACAATATTGTTTCATCCCATCTGATGATGATATTGGACAAGATTCCAGATAGAAACCTGGCCTAATAAACTTGTGATCTATTTCCACTTTGTTTACTCTGGAAGTCAGTCACTGAACATATACACAAGAGACTCCTTGAGCATGAAAGCACACATTTCGAAAGAAGTTTGTTTACATAAGCACAAACTTACCCTATACAAGAACAATATGAAGCAGTCTTATTTCAAATATCTGGAAGATGCAACCATTTTACCCCTACAACAATCTTACAGACACACATCTCAGTGAAGGGTCACTGCTGTCTCCACACTAGAGCTCTTGTAGATTGCAGTGTCTGTAACTAGTTTCTCTTTGTCAAATTTGTGCATTCCCTTTGCTATTTTATTTAATGTCTCCTCTTGAAACACTTAAACAAGTTGTTAACCAGCTCCCTTACTATTAGATATGGGTTCTTTTAAACTTGGGTATTCAGCCTTGAAAGATATATTTCTTCGTACTCTTTCAGGGCCTTCTGCTGTAGTTTTCTTCTCAGCAACATAAGACATTTCCCCTTCACTGATTGTTATGAAGACTGAAATGCTCACTACCTCTACTGAAAGACCTTTCTCTTCGCAAGTTTCTGTCTGAACAAACCTGCTTCTAGACCTTGCTCGCTGGGTTGTAAACCTCAAGCAATTTATTAATGATCTCCCTTGGGGAGGGGGTGTCGGGTGGGAAGTTTGCTAGTTATTTAGCTGAAATCACATGATAACTTGGAAATACTGACTTAACTCAGTTTACAAAACAGGGACAGAAAGTCATTCTTTTAAAAAAGCTGAAGTCAATATCCAACTAAAGGCCCTCTTTCCCCTCTTCCTATCTGCTTTGATTTTTGTCTTCATTGTTGATTATCATTTTGTTTCAGTATGGTAGCACTTTAACTCCTGACCCAGAGTTTTGTGGTTTTAACAACCATTGCAGAACATGACCACAGAATCTAGGACAAAAACTCAATGGTAAGAGAGACTGCTGCAGTGACAGAAATGCCAACTTCTGAATAAACCTATTAAACTGAGGCCACTTTTATCTATTTGGGTAGACATGAAAGGTCCTGCGAAAGGAACAATTTTGAGAAAAACAGGCACTATGATCTCCTCGGAAATATTTATTCCTCAAGTGAAGTTACCAGAACAGGTTACCCGATTGTTTTATACTAATTGGCTTGTGTTTGTCAACAGTGATTACACTTCAGATTAGTTTAGGTTGTGAGGCTATTTTGGGACAATGCCTTTTTTTTCACTGAACTGCTAGCAGACTTCCCTCATATCTGGAAGAATAAACTGACCATCTCCTGGGGATCTTGTGGTTCAGTAGCAGTGTCCTTACTTCTAAATCAGAAGTCTCACCTGTTCCAGAAGTGCGTGATAAGATCTTTGAACAGGTTCACTAAAAATATCTCCTGCTGAGAAGAATAGGCCAATAATGAGAGAGATACTTCTAAAGTGCAATTTATTCTCTTCTTTATCTGTTCCCAAAAGGAAAATGTTTCCCTATTGAGTATAACAGACTGAAAAACTTAGATGTCTGGGAAAAAAATAATCAGTTTTAAAGAAATAATTGTCTAAGGTCAATATTCAAGTCTACAACTTTGAAATAAAGAATGTTGATCAAAACAGGTGAATTGGCCTTCAGAAGTCCATGGATATGGCAAAAGTTTTTCCAGGAGTTTCCCATTACATCTTCTGAATTACTAGTCATGTGTAAGTCTGCTAAAATGAAACAACTCAGTGATAATGGTTCCTTTCAACTGCATTACAATCTCTCTTTAAATATCTTTGTAAACCCAATAAACATTTTCAAAGTGAAAGGCCTGTTATTGATGCCATAAAATACTTTAAATGATGTTCAGTAACTGTAACATATTTGCTCATGCTGTGTACATCATTTAGTTACACAGTGTGTGCACAACAGATTTTAAAAACCCACAGCATTAAATAAATAAACTCCATTCACTACTAACAAAATATTGAATAAATATTGAAGATAGTGGAGATGTGAAATAAAAAAAACATGCCAGAGAAACTCAGCGAATTGAAAGTGAAGTTGAGTCAAAAGTGATTGTTTTTATATTGTTGACAAAGGGAAAGGAGGAACAGATGCTGAGGGTGCCCAGAGCAAAAGATAAAGGGGAGTGCTAATTGTAGCAGAGGAGATAATACACACTCAACACTTTTGTTCTAGACCTGCTGCTGTGCTCCAGCAAAGCCCACCACAAACCAACCATGCACTTTATGGCCTTCAGAACATGAACACAGTCCCCTATCTTGATTACAACTTCTTTTTCACCCAACCCCACCCAGCATCATGTATGCACAGCTTGGTTTCTCGCATTCACACTTACTCTTAACAGATTCTGGATGTAGAATCTCTGATTCATAAATAAAAGAATAGATATATAGGCACTGACTGATGGTTAAATTAGGTAAGGACTAATCTATTAACTTTGTGTGTTCATGTCCATGTGCTTTCAGTATGTCTTCCAGAACGGCCGAAACAGTCTAAATTATTGCCATCTTCTTCCAGCATATTCTAGTTCTGCCCACACTTTTCTATTTATACTCTGTGTACAGCTCTGTGACATCGCCAGGGACCTGAAGCCTTTACAAAATACACTTAAATTTCCCCTGCCCTGTCATAAACATTAAAAAGTACAATCTCAAATAAGTTACCTAGATTACTTATATTTTCATTTACTGCCCTTGTTTTTCTTACCTTGCTTACCCCTGCCAAAGTCTGTGCACGGAACCATGGAGGGATTGGTGTAGGCCTCTCCTACCATGGTGGGAGGAGATCCTTACAAGTAGTTTAATTGACCACTTTAAGGGCCTGAATTGGCCAATTGGAGGGTGGAAACTTGATGTAAGGGGTAAATTTGAAGTGGGGTCAGAGTCAGCAGATGGGCAGTGGACCAGGTGCCTACTGCATTTTACACACTTCTGACCTTCATACCCACCAGATAAAGACCATATAAATTAGCCCCATGAGAAATGACTTGTACAAATCTAAATACATGAGAAACATGTGTGATTATCAGTGGTAGAGGTAATTGTTAAACAGAAGAATAGGTATATGAAAAAAGACTTAGATTTATGGAATGACAGAGATGGAAAGATGGAAAGATAGATAATGGACAAAGATTACAGTCTTAATTAATTCATTTTTACTCACTTGGCAGAGAGTTGCATTTAAGTGCATGCTAATCAGGGAGTTGGGAATATAATATGTGTAACAAATGTTGTCTTTTAGCAGGTTTGTTTGAGAATGTAGGATTCACGCAGATATTACACCAATTCTTTTTGTCCTTGAAAAAATATTTGTCAATTAACTACATTACAAAATCTGTACGTTGCCAAGTGTAGCATCCCTATTCTAAAACAGAATATGTTGTGATTCGTAAGGATAATCCTAGTTTGGGACTATACATATTATGAATTTAAGAATGCAGTTTAAAAAAAATTCACATTAAGAGGAAAATGAAGAAATTCAGAGAGTGCCAATAGGTACTTATTAGCTTAATTCCTGTAAGTATGTGTGTTGAAATGAGTGCATAACCAAAAATATTATCAAGTCAATACATTTAAGATTAGCAGTAATGAGATAACCCAGCCAGAGAGATACAAAGAAGAGAAAGACGTTCAAGCTAACAGCCCACCACCACTTTCAAAGGCCAATAACTGATGTCCCCTACGTAGGATAGTTTGGAATAATAAAGAAAAAGACTCAAAGCTTTCTGCAAATGCATATTCAACTACAACTGAAGAAAAAAAAACCACTCCTGACACAAAAGGTTACTGCTGATCATGCTGGTGATGACATTAAATAATCTTTATCGCGGCACACATGGCTTATGTTCTAATGCTGAATCCATCTGCTAGTTTGTATTACATTTGCCAGACAACAACCATGGCCATTCTGTATTTCATTAAATTATGGCCATTTTAGACATTTTTGTTGCAAATTTATGAATGAAAAATAGTGAAGTTTAGTGATGAATGTGTACAAATAGTTCATAAGCAGATGAATTGTCCGTTGAACAATGGAAGTCTTGATGAAAAGAACACAGGGGATAATAGCATATTGTGCTCAATGAGAAACTTGCATTCATTGGTTAATTCTGAGTTGCCATGGAAAAATATTCCAAATGAGATTCTACTGCCTTACCACAATGGTTAGAGACTCCAAAAGCTCGTTTGAAATCATCTTTGTGTTTATACATAATGCTAAAGCAGTTTAGAAAGGAAAATTATTTTCAGCATATTATCCAGTATGTCTAGAACCTTGTTCAAAAACAAATATACCAAAAAAAAATCAGTGATTAATTTTGCATTATTAATTCATGAACAGTACGTTTTCATGGGTTGATAAATGCTACCTATGAATTATTGTTTTAGAAAATATGAAAATATAGTTCAGATTAGTTCTGTGTAAAAACTATTAATTTTTTACAGAACTGTCTACTCATGCATATTATTACTGGGAAAATGTAATTAAATA